TATGCATAAGGTTAGACTAGGTGTCGATAAGGGAAATTGGATCCCTGAAAATGCTCGAGCTATTTTGGATCAACATTGGGCTTCTGAAAAATTCCAAAACAAAAGTAATACTGCTAAAGGGAATCGGGCTGTAGAGAATGGAGCAACAGCTTACACTGGTGGCTCCATATCTGCAGGAGCCCACTTTGAAAAATTGGTAAGTTTATTTCATTTTTTTTATTTATATTTAGTTCAATTTCATATAATTGATTGGTTGAATTGCAATATTTAAATTTATATAGGCGAAGGAGCTAAATCGTCCCCCTACTGCTTGGGAATTAGTGGAAAAGACAAAAAAACTTAAGACTGGAGAATGGGTCAATGATAAAGCCCGCAACATTGCTGTAAGTTCCTCTCCATGTTCTGTTTTATTCTGTAATTTTTGTTGACTTTCCTTTTTGTTTGTGATCAATTTTGTCTTGTGATGTTGTTGATGTGTGTGACTGTTGTATAGTTACACATTAGGCATGCCACTGGCCATGTAGTGTTTATTGTACTTTATAGAAGATATTGCTGAATATCCTCTAGTTGTAGCGTACAACTTGGAGAAGAGGATTATCCCTAGCTTCTTGGTAATCAAAATCTTGATTGATAATTTACAATGATAATTATTGTAGCATCTTTTAATAAGCAATGCATGCAGTGTATTATTGATTGGAAGCAGGAGAACAAAATTGCCAGTTGTGGAAGTGACATTACATTATCAATTATGGCATATGTTGCACTCGCTGATTTATTATCACTAACATTCATTGATTAATTTTGTGTACTTGGTTGATGGAAAACCTTTCTCTAAACTCCGATCCTGTGGCATTTGTTTTTACTATCCTCTGCATTGGCCCAAAGAGGCAAGTAGGACCATACCACCACTTCTTAAACCTTGCTTCTCACTCACACTTGACTTCACACACAAACAGCTCTACATATACTAATATTTTAACACGAATTTACTTATTTTAAATTAATAAAATAAAATATTAAATAATAAGTAAATATTGCTTTATATATATTAAATAATTCTCATAGAAAAAATGGTTAATTTTTATATTAAAAAAATATTGGTACATACATATAAAATAAGTATTATCTCTGAAACATAATTTATTTTATGAATGAGAAGAAGATTGAAACTCTGATGAGGTTGGTTTAGAGGGGGAAGCGGTTTTGACAAATATGTGATGAAATGAAATGTTATATTGAGCTGGTTTGAGTCCAACTTAACTTTCTGAAACTTGTGCAAACAATGTGTTCAACTCTTCATTTTTTAATTACCTTTTTCCGGGGGTATTTTTGTTAGTGTTAGTTTTCTAATAATATAAGTTAAGTTACATTATTATTATTTAATGAATAATATACTTTTATTTTCTGAGTTCTAATTTCATGAATTTGATCTTCAAATATCATAATCGTGCAATTTTTGTATTTATATTAATTCTCAATATTTTATGGCGGGATTTCAACCTTTTTATATATACTCTGGGAACATTCTACCATTACCACTAGGGTCAAGTATTAGTATATTTTTTATTGGACTTAAATATGTTTCAAATCTCTTAAATATGTAGTAAACTTTTTTTTAGTCTCTTAAGTTTAAAATGAATATTTTTAGTCACTATAATTTGAAGAAAAAAAATTTCATTTTAGTCTCTTTATACTTAAATGTGGTTAGTAAATATGTCAAATCAAATTTTTGTTACTAAATATTTCACAAAGGAATTATTTACCAGTGTTTTTGTTAGTAAAAATATTATATAAAACTCAGTTAATACTGTATAATTATTTAATTTTTCGCTATATATTATATATTGCAGGTTGCTCCCAAGGGATTAAAACAACTTTTCTTGAAATTACATGGACTAATTGAAGCATGACTATATCAATTTTGAGGCATGACTACTTGAGCTCCCACCCAATTTGTAACATTGTTTCAATATGGCCAAAGAGAGAATGAACAACGTACATGTGTATGGTTTGCCAAGAAAAAGTTCAAAATGCTTCGCCAGTTGTGTGGTTTGCAATAATTTGAAATATATGACTGCAAAGAAACAATGTTATCTTAAAAAACGAGTCTGTGGATGTTGTGAATGTGATACACTTCATAAAATCCAGATCTTGGTTATGACTATGTGCTAAGGTGGAGGTTTTTCATTTTCTTTTTATGAATGGTGAACAAATCCAATTGTAGAGATATGTATTTTGTATATGAGTTTAGGAACCCCTTATGCCTCTATTTAATATATTTTGTCTTTGCTATTTAAAAAAATTAGAAACTGAAAATTTTAATTTTAAATTTAAAAGATTAAAAGTAAATTTATCCTAAATTAATTTGACAGACTAATAATATATATTTAAACCTTTTTCTAATATATCACAATTGAAAGATCAAAATAGAACATATATTTATAACTAAAATAATTATTTATGCTATGAATAATTAAATTTATATTTATTAATATTTTAATCTATATTTAATCATATTAGTTGATTAATATGCTAATAATATTAGTAAATTAAATGTTAAATACTAATAATTAAGTTCATAAATATATTAAATAAACTTTTATTCGTAGCTAATGAAATTTCATTATTTTAACAACCAATATGATTAGATATGTGGAGCGATGATGCATTCAAAGTGATCTCAATTGGCACCAGTTAATGGCTTGGAAATTTTTTGTGGAATCTTACTCAAGCCAGTTAAGTGCCTCTCAATAAAGGAAGTGAGAGTGGAACTTACTTAAACCAGTTTGCGATTATTCTTACACAATTAATACAGATATTTCACGCTCGCGAAACTAGGATGTGTGAATGGTGATAAATAGAAAAAAATAATAATGAATTACTTAACAACCTCATGCCAATGGTAAAAGATTATTTTTAAGGATGATAGAAAAATATGAAAAAAAAAAAAGAAGAAAAAAACTAGACAGGGAATGAAAAGAAAATGGGGTTTAGTTTAGTTTAGTTTCAAAGCCTTGAAGGATCTAGAGTGGATTTAATAGTTCGCATCCCAGAAGAAGACATAAAAATGAGAAAATGTTAAACCAGAACCAACTTTGTTATCATTTTCTTTACTGAAAATTATTTAGCCAGTATCAAATGAGTAAATTCATGAAAAACTTATAATTATTGATAAATAAAAAGGAAGAGTATTGAATGTTCTTTTCTTTTGTACTTCTTTTTAAATAAATTTTTTGATTATGAAAGAAGGAGGAGGGGGGAGGGGAGATCTACTCATACTAACTATTTTAATATATACCATATATATTAAGAGAACAATTAAGAAGTCTTCATGAATCGACTTTGCTCTTCTAATGAAAAGAAAATGAACAACTTTTTATTAATTTTGCTTTTGTCCCTTGTAAACAGCACTCACGAAACCACATACTACTATAGATTTCATGGTTACATGTTCATGACAACAACTAAACCAGCAAAAGCAAATGCAGACATAAAATACATATATATGATAAGGGTTTGGATATATGATTGTTCAACTATAGAACAAATCATACTCTCGAAGATCCACTGGTGGTGGGAAGGGAAGAACAGTTACAGACAATCTGTATGTGAACCGCCCTCCTATGAAAGTTCTTGTGGCAACCACAGGCAGCACAAGTCATAGCAGCAGCAGTTCCTTCAGCCCCATTAGCCATGAATTCCCCACAACCATCCAGAGCATATCCTCCGATATGAAGGGCTAGATTCTTCTGGCATTCACCATATGTCACAGTCGTCACAGTTCTCAGAGTTGAATTGTTTGAGCTTCTCGCTGGCTCTTCTCTTTTCACAGCCACTTGACGCTTCTTCATTGCACATTACTCTTCAAATTCTCTACCTGCAAACCCTGCAAAGATGATGTCAAATTTGTCAGTACAGAATGAAAATTGTAGCCTCAGCAAAAAAGAAATCAGAGAGAGAGAGAAAAGAAAAAGAAAGGGTTGGGAGAGATCGGGGTGAGAAAGAGAGGACACAACTTACTCAGTGATGGCCACGGGTATGAGGAGCCCTAACCCTAGAGGGTGTATTTATAAATGAAAAATCTGATCTGGATTCACAAAACAACGTATAATTTTGAATTGTTTTTAATTGATATTAGATTAACTCAGGATCACATTTTTTGCTCCATTCCCCACTTTTTCTTTATTTGCACATAGAAATGGTTAAATTGAATTTTCTTTAAAGTTTGGCTTAAATGCATTTTTTTTTACATAAATGTGTTTTTTTCCCTCTAAGTATAATAAATATGCAATTTTAATCTCTCAAATTTTATCTAATCAGTTTTAATCCTTAAAATATTACAATTTTAGTCTTTAAAGCATTAGAATTATACAAAATTTTATCATTTAAATTGCATATATTATTAATTTTAGTATAATAAATATATATCATTTAATACATGAATGAAAATTATAATATATGTAACTTTAAAAAGTCAAAATTTGTTAAATTGTGATACTTGAGAGGCTAAAATCTTACAATTGTGATACTTGAGTAAAATTGTTAATTAAAATTTGGAATCCAAAAATTATACAATTATTATATTTAAGATACTAAAACTATTTAATTAAAATTTTAAGAACCAAAATTACTTAATTATAAAACTAGAGATATAAAAAATACAATTAAACCTTAAATTTTATTTAGAATATGGATCTATTAGAGGATCAATTCATATATGACTTCTATTAAAAAAATTATATATGTCAAAAGAGGTTAACTCTTTAAATAAATTTTATCAATAAATTAATCTTTAACTACGACCAGAGACATTTGATTTACTTTAAGAAAGAAAAATATATTAATTTTTTTTCTTAGAGTATTTTCTAATAATGTTAGAAGACTCGTGAATTTTTTTAATATTAATTAACTCTTTTAATAGATGACTAATTATCTCCCGAAACATTATTAAGTGTTAAAATGAAAAGTCTCTTGATTTAAAAAAATTGAATTTGTTTCATTTAGATCCACACAATTTAATAAATGGTAAAAAAAATTAATAATTATAATAATCATATTGCGTTCATATATTTTAAATTGGTGTGAAATTTTTTAAAAGTTGAAAAATCAAATACATTTAATGAAAATATAAGGTTGTGTTTGGTTTCAAAATAACATTTTCTATTTTCATTTTCAGAAAATAATTTTTATTTTCTAGTTTTAAAATTTAGAAAACATGTTTGGTTTTAATTATTTTCAATAAAATTTCATGAAACGGTTTTTTTTTATAATAAAATCTACTATTAAATTAGTCTTTCTATATATGAATTAGGATAATATTTTATTTTATAAATATTTTATTATTTTCACTCTATCTTATATTTATTCTCATTTGAATACTTTCCGCTCATAATAGTTGAATTTCATTCTGAAAATGTGCAAATGTCTATTATATTTTTTCAATCAAATGAACAATTTATTATTTATCAACTAGTAATTATATATCAAAATAATATATATATATATATATAAAATAATATTTAATTAAAATTATTAAATAATATAAACAATATATGTAATTCTATAAAATAGTTATATATGATAAATCTTATAATATTAATATATAATATATATCCAAGCAATCAAACTAAATTGTTTTTCGCACAAAAAAGATATAAGACACATGAATTGAATTACATGTATAAAAAATTTTAAGTCTATTAGATTATGTGTGCAACTGCAAGCTTAAAAGCAAGTTCATAAAAAAATTTAATAATTAGTATTACATGTTCCCGTGTTTTTAAAAGTGTAGAAAATAGTGAAAATGACTTTTTTTATTTACAATTTGGACTTCTTTTGAAAATATTTTCTAAAGATAAAAGTAAACATATTTTCATGCTTATTTTTTATTTTCTTTGAAAATAAAAATAGAAAACGGTGAAATCAAACAGGAGATTTTTTCAACATTCCATGGAGTAAATCAGTAAATGAAAGAGAATTATTGATTCAAGTTAGTTTTTAATTATATTATTATTAAAAAAATTACATTAAAAGTAGAAGTCATGCGGCACCATACACATTGCTTCTTTTTCTGTTAAAGTTTTACTATTTTTTTAGTTCATAAAACATAATTATAATAATTATTAAAATTAAGGTGATTACAAAAATTTATTATCATTAAATTAATCAGTTAAATCATAAATAAAAATTATTATATTTAATATGATAATTAATAAATACATGTCATTAATTTGAACGAAATTTACATCATATATCATTCAAATTTTGTGAATGAAAAAAATGATAATCAATTTATCAAATTATATGAATTTTTTTTACAATTGTGATAATATTTTTGGTTTGTATATTAGTATACATAATAATTTATCGTAGATGTGTATTATGTTATGATGCCAATAAATGGTTATTTTATCCTAAATAATAAAATTAATAAGAATGGATTTTATGGTAATGTTTAATATTTATTATTATTATTATTATTATTATTATTATTATTTATTATTATAAAATAAATTATACAAAATAAGTATTGTAATGATAATAATTTTTTTTGTTATCATAAATACTAGTGTAATAAATAATAATAGAAATTAAAATTTATTTTACATTTATTATCATTATTTTAATAATTTATGGTAAATACAAGTTATATCGACAATGATTATATTAAATTATTGTTATGAAAAAATTTATGTAATGAAATCAACATTTGGAACAAATAGTAATAACTTATTTTTTTAATTAAATTGTTTAGGATTTAAGTAAAGAAATATATACTTTGTATATTCACTTCACTAAGTAATCTCAAACATATATTAGTCATTACATTAAACATTTGAGTATTATAAATTAAAATTACTAAATAAAATATTACTTCATTTATCTTACAATGACTATAATTTAATATTTTTACATAAAAATTAAAAATAACAATAAATGTATCACCTTTTAATACAAATTTATCAAAATAACTAATATTTTTATTATGATGATTGAATAATTTATGAGAATGTATATTAAAATAAATTAATTAGTACTATATTGAAATATCATTAATTTTAGAACATTTTCTATATGTGAAAACTACAAATATTATAAAAAATTTAACGTTCTCTTTATAACATAGCTGGCACCCTTTTTTTTCAACTCTTTTTTATTATAATGAATTAAATCAAAAAGTTATATCTATAATTCTTTAAATATTTTCTTTATAACATAGTCTACACCTTTTTTAACACTCTCTTTCTACAATAATGAGTTAAATTAAAAAATTTATATTGATATTTCTTTTAATGCTCTCTTTATAACATAATCGACATTTTTTTTAACACTCTTTTTAATAATAATAAATTAAATTAAAAAAGTTATATTGATATTTCTTTTAATACTCTCTTTATAACATTGTATTCATCTTTTTTAACGCTCTTTTTACAATAATGAGCTAAATTAAAAAAGAAAAGTTATATCAATATTTATTTTAACACTATTTTTATAACATAGACACCTTTTAAATACATTCTTTTTAGAATAATGAATTAAATTATACCCTATATATGTTTCTTTCTCTTTTTTTTTAATGTTCTATTTATAACATGGTATATTATACATCTTTTTTAAAGCTTTTTTTTCTACAATAATAAGTTAAATTAAAAAAATTTACATTGATACTTCTTTTAACATTCTTTTTATAATATATCTGATATATTTTTAAACACTTTCTTTTTTACAATAATAAATTAAATTAAAAAGTTAAATCAATATTTTTTGAACATTTTCTTTATAATATAATAGATACTTTTAAAATACTCTTTCTGTAATAATAAGTTAAATAAAAAAAGTTATTTTAATCTTTTAACTCTCTTTATAATAAAACGGACAACTTTTTGAAAATTCTCTTTGAAGAATAATAAATGAAATTAAAAAGGTATTTCTTGTGACTTAAGAAATGAAGGAATTAATTAGATATCTCAGGAAAGTGTGTGGACCCACGAAATTTATGGGAAAAGTAAAAGGCAGTTAAGGGTCCACTAAGGATTGTCAGTAAAACGGTCAAAGACTTGCGGGAAACTGGCATGGAGACTTCTTTAGCCAAAACAATGTAACCTTTTCGCACTTTCCCACATTTCTTAGTTGGCATCTTGCATAATGAACCAGCTAACTTATAAACTCTCACATTTTCTACTTTTTTAATTTTAACTTAAAAAAAAAAAAAAAAAAAAAAACGGTTCGCACTTTTTGATTTTTCATTTTAACATTTTTTTTTAAAGCTGTTTGCCTTTTTCAAACTTTTTCTCAAACACCCGAAACTTTTATTACCAAAAAATCTAAAAATATTGCCGATCACCCGGAACTTTTTAAATTTACATTTTTAAATAGGAAGAGATAAAATTTTTATGTTAAAATAATTTAAGAGGTGTATTAAATTGAAATTTTATAAGATTTTTTTAGTATAAAAAAGTGTTGTGAATTTTAATTTTTTTTTTAGTAATGCAATGACATTTAAGATTTTTTTAAAAGACTTTTTTAATTAAGATTTTGTAATATAAATATTAATGAATTTGTATCTTATAAGATTTGAAAGAATTTTATTATATTTTAAATGATAATGTACAATTAATAAAAAAATAACTCAAATGTCAAGGGTGGAATAAATAAAATAAAATCAATAAAAGTTTTCAATTTTTTGTTAAATAATTGATTTTAGTTTTATGTTCTCTTAAGTAGGTATGTAAGCAGGTTGAATTGGGCTGAGTTTAGATATATCTGTTATCCGATCCAATCAAAATTTAATGAATTGGGTTGGATTGGATTTGTGAATTTTTTTTAGAAACCCAATCTAACCCAACTCAACTTAATCACGAAAGAGTTGGGTTGGATAAATCGAGTTAACATAATTATATTTATTTATTTTTAGTAAAAATTTAAATATTTTAAAATATATGTAAATCATTTGATATATTGTTACAAATTCAATGTTATCAACCTATAAAATAAACAATGATACAGATTAAATTCTAAAATAAATTTATTAATTTGTTATATTATTATCAACTCAAAAAATTAACATTAATTTAAAATGAATTAAAATCTTTTTTAATCAAGATTT